GGGGAGGACTCCCTCATCCTCTAAGAGAGTCCCTACTCCAGGCCAAGGAAGGCCATAGCTTTAGGAGCCTCTACACAATGGTCACGGATCCCTGGAGGGATCAAATCCAGAAGCCAGTGGGAAAGGGGCTAATGGAAATAGATAAATGCTATTTTGATTTGCAAAGGAAATGGGGGTGAGAGGAGTGGAGGTGAATTCATGACAAGGCTGTTGAACAGATAGTTTGTGAGCACTTTCAAGAGAAAATGATGAACTACAGGAGTTATCAACAGAGCCACCAACAGTCACTCCAGAAATTCACTGTGACATCCTCACTTCTACAAGGCAGCTAGCAAAAGATGCAGTGGGGAGTGTGCAGTAAGAGCACAAGGTAGCTGTTTTGTGGTTATAAAAGGCTAAAAAACCCCAGAATCTTGAGGATGTTAAGTACGTACTTAGCTTCTATAACCAGGGGGAAGATCCTTAGGGCCGTGCCCAACCAATGAGACTTCATGGCTTAACAAATATATATATGAGCTGAAGCTGGAAGTCTAGCTAGTTGATCCATGCATGGCATTCACAGTCAAGAATAGAGTTGGCCTGGGATTTAGCTCAGTGGTTCTGCCACCTGCTTTGCAAGTGTAAGGTCCCGACTTCAATCTCCAATACCAAAAAAAAGAATAGACTTAAATGAAGATTCAATTAATAATAAAACAATATTTAACAGGGATGAAGAGATTTTAAAACTTAATTACTAACCTACGAAAAAGATCTACTATATGAAATTTAGTCTGTAAGTCTGACATATTGCTAGAGGCTGCTGACATGACTTGCAAAACAGTGAGCACAACGGCAGGCTGGGCCAACAGGAGGAAGATCATAATGGGAGCTACTGCCGAAGCGTGGATCTGTAGACAACATGGTGCAATGGCTCAGACAGGGGCTCGGAATCACTGTCCCTCTGCTTATATCCCAGCTCTGCCCCTTACTAACTATGTAAAGATGGTTATGTGCTTTATATCTTTGTGCTTAATTCATAGGGCCATTTTGGGGATTAAATGAGATAGCATGTGTAAGGTACTCAGAACAGCGTTTGGTATATCAAAAGCACTCAATGATTGTTACTAACAAGAAAAAAAGCATGAGACCTGGAAAGGTACAATGCCATACAAAATACATGGTGGTACTGAGTTCAAAAATGAAAGATAGTACATATGTGAATGAATCCAACTCAATTATTGCTTGTCCTTTCTTTCCTGGTCCATCTAGATCAAAGGAAGTAATAACAGTTCTGCTGCATTCTTCATAGGGATAACCTCAAAGATTACTGGGTCCTGAGCAGGTGTCACATCTAGAGAAGACACTGGCAACAAAGAAAAAGAACAAGTCCAAGAAAGTAAAGGTTTTCCTAAGCATGCAGTGGGTGTGACAAGTCTAACAAAAAACGATGTCTGTCAGCCAGGATGAAAAAGACATTTATCCTCAGATGTGTGGATTGCTCCAGTAGAAACAAAGCAATTGTGGAGGAAGGCTGTTGTAAGAATTAGGCAGTTCCCAAAGGGAATCTGTTTGCCAAGTTCTGGATCTTGGAAATAAGTATTCAGGTATAAGCTGGGTGACCATCTGTCAGGAATACAGAAGATCAGGTAAAAATCACTTTAAAATCCTTTCTGACCCTATCATGCATAATTTGAAGAGATCAAATAGCCCACCATATATTTAAGTTGTAGCATTTAGGGGATAAAAACCCACATTATTCATCCATTCCAATGGAGTCAATAGATTTGCCATGTAGCTTTGGCCTCACTAAGTCAGCATCAAGAATGATTTTGGGGCCGGGGATTTAGCTCAGTGGTTCTGCCGCCTGCCTTCCAAGTGCAAGGACCCAAGTTCAATCCCCTGTACCAAAAAAAAAAAAAAAGATTTTGATTGTGGAAAAAAAACAACTAAATGAATTCTTTAAAGAAGACTTAAATCATTTATATTGGGGGATGGAGTTAACTTACAGGATGGAAGAAATAGAAGGCTTTGTACTTTTTACAGAGTTATGGAGCAAGGTGTATGACAGACCTGAAGCCACCTTCCAGGGGACCTCTCTCTTCATCAAGGTTAAGGTGATCGCAATGAAGCTCAGACACTAAATCTGCTATAAGCATTTAGAACACAGGAATACAGAAAACCTGAAAATCACAGGAAGTGAAAGTAGAAGGAGTAAAATGGAACATTTTTTGCACAGCATAAAAAAAATCATGACTTCACTCTGAAAAGAGGCGAATGAGGCAAACACTGGCTTCATTTTACAAGAAGCAGCTAGAACATGTGCAGTGCTGTGTGCTGGGATAATGGGAAGGATCGCCTCATCCTATGACTCAAAAGGAGCAGATGGCCTGTGGGAGCTGAAGAAGGACTTTCCCCTCCTCCATAGAGGACAGTGTGGCCCTAGCCATGAGGGGTGGCAGCAGCAGTGGATGGAGAGCTTGCCTGTTTTTCAGCCTTATACACATTGGGATGTATAATAGGATGACTAGTTTGGAAAGTAGCTCTCTTCTCAATCTTGTTGGTAACTGCATCCTGCTTAGGTCTCATATTTCACATGCTATGCTCTAAGAGTAATTGTAAGACCATGCAATACAACACTGCTTGTGAAAGCAAAACAAACAAAAACTAGAAATTACCAAAATATCTAATGTTCAATGGTTACTAACAAAACATTCATATCCTAGAATATTCACAGCAGCTTTAAAATGACCTATATATGTTGCAAACAGTAAAATAGCCAAGATTATATTATTAGGAAAATGGAAGGTACAGCACAGGGTAGAAAATAACAACATATAAAAACTTTTATGCATGTACTGGTACTTGAGGGATGCTTTCTTGTAATTGAATCATCACTATGTGGGTTGTTATACCAAAGACCCTAGGGAAATGTCTTCCTAACATCCAGTACTAGAAAAGGTTCCTTGGGTCTCATTCAATCCCACAGTCACCAGTTGCCTCCTGCCCTAATTTCTTTTTCATGTCTTTTTTAGGTAATTGCTGGTCAGTGTTAGTGTGCTACAGAGATATTATGAGATGGTAGAGAACATCCGCTGATTTCCATTAATCTTTGTCTTTTAAAAGGTTGAGATATACGTTACATATAAATTCACCATTTCAAAATGTTTATTTCAATAGTTTTTAGTATTTCCATTTAATCTATTCACTACCAGTACCTAATTCCAGAACATTCTCATCACTCTGCAAAGAAACCCCTTGACCACTGGCAGTCACTTTCCTGTCTTCTTCCTACCTCTCCCTAGCCCCTGATACTGTTAATGTTCTTCTTGTCTCTATGGATTTGCCTATTCTAGACAGTGCCTTTAAATGGAATCGTACAGTATATGGCTTTCTGAATCTAGCTACTTTCTTGTAACATAATATTTTCAAGAGTTATCTAGGATGTAGCATGTATAAATACTTCATTCCTTTCTACTGTTCATCAATACTCCACTGTATGGATTTTGTTTATCAGTTAATCTGTGAATGAACATTTGGGGCATTTCTACTTTTTGTTTATTATGAATCATGCTTCTGCAAACATTTGTGTCCAAGTTTTGCATGGACGTACATTTTCATATTCCTTAGGGATATAACTGGAAGTGGAATTGCAGGATCATATGGTAACTCCATGTTTACCTCTTGAGGAACTGTTGTAATGTTTCCAAAGTGCTGCACTATTTTACATTTCTCAACAGTCTACAAGGGTTCCAATTTCTCCAAATCTTCCCTAATACTTATTCTGTGTCTTTTTAGTGAATGTGAAGTGGTATTTCATTGTGATGTTGATTTGCATTTCTCTAATGGCTAATAACATTGAGCATATTTTTGTATGGTTTTTAGCCACTTAATTACCTGAAGAAATATCTATTTCAACCATTTGGTCACTTTTTAATTGGGTTACCTTTCTGAGTTTAGGATTTCTCTATATACTCTGAATATGAGTCCCTTATCAAATATATGACTTGTAAATATTATCTACCTTTTTTTTTTGACAGCACTAAGAATCAAATTTAGGGTCCTGTGCATTCTAGGCAAGCACTCTATCATTGAGCTATACCCCTAGCCCTGGGCTTTTTACTTTCATGATGGAATCCTTTCAAACACAAATCCTTTTAATTTTAATGAAGTCCAAGTTATTGATTTCTTTCTCTTACATTTTGGTTTCTGGCCCATTTTGAGTTAACTGTTTTATACAATTCATCTTTTTATTCTTTCTCTTCTTAACCATTGACTCGAAATCGACAAGAACTCCTGTAAAACTGGATTTTAACATCTAGTAGGGTCAATCTTCTTTGATGTCTTTGCAACAGCTTCGAAAGAATACATATACAGTTTTTCTTAGAGGTTCTAGGTCAAAACTATTGGCTAAAACACAAATTAAAAGGTACAAATATAGGGCAAATACTTAGTAGCACAAAGTTAACTTAGTATTACACGAGAAAGTACACACTGGATAAGAATTTTTATGGATGGAAGGGGCCGGAGATTTAGCTCAGTGGTTCTGGCATTTGCCTCATAAGTGCTAGGTCCCAAGTTCGAACCCCGGTACCAAAAAAAAAAAAAAAGAAAAGAAAGAAGAATTTTTATGGATGGAAAACTAAAACTCATCACTCAAGAATATGGTATGTGTACAGCCTCCTATGGTTGGCTGAGTGTATAAGAAATCCACACAATGGGCAGAATAAGAGTGAATTATTCTAGATTGATGTATGTATATGAATTATTTTAGGAAATATTTCATAAGCAAATAGTATTATACTGAATCAGTGCTACACAGGGAAGCAATGCAGAAGTATACATATGCACTTGCCAAATTTATTTTCTGAAGATTCACAAGCAGTGATTAATATCTTAGAGTAGTTACTACAGTGATAGGGATAAGATTTTACACTTTTCAAAACTGAATTTTCCTATTATATACTTTTAGGAGGAAAGAAAGAACTATGGCTAACTAAGCATTGCTTATGAACTGTCTTACTTCTTTGTTTTTCTATTTTTAAAGAAACCTTACTAAATGTTATTACAAAATGAAATATCCTATCCTGTAAGTGTGTAATTAGGGGCCTATGGAGAGGACTATCCCTCCCTTAAAAATTCCTGAGTGGTGAGTAACCAGGGACTGGTCTAGAAAAATGAAGCAGGAAGGTTATTTGAATTCAATTATACAGGACATGCTTGTCATCTTTGCTGTTTCAAGTTGAGCTTTGAGTTGGGGGTGTCTCTCCATCAGGAAACAGAAACTGAGAAGCAGCTCAGGCGGAGGAGCTGGCCTTTGAAACAGGAAAGGGCAGAGTCTGTTTCTGGCTAGCTGAGAGCCATAACATTTTTCAGAAAATTCTTGCATGGTGATAGCATTTTCCCACCATGAAAGGGTAGTAACAATCTTCACAGATAGCGTGCCCGTGTATGTGGTTTAAATAAAGAAAACTAGTCAGGAAGAAAGAGGCAGAGGGCCTGAGGGACTGGGGGTCTACGGCAGGAATTCCAAGACACAGCTGCAGGAACTTTTGAAAAGGCACAGGTCAGTGTCAACAGTCAAAAGCTCAGGGAAGGACTCTTGAAGGACACAGAGGTAAGAACATTTTTCTCCTCATCCCTGTTATGTTTTCCAGGAAGACAGGAGGTATCTCCAGGATTGGGAAGATAAAGAGAAAAGAATAGGATACCCTGTGCAGTCTCCAGGGGACAAAGGCAGCAGTGAAAGAAAAGAGAGGGCCAGCCCCGGAGCCTCAGGGACAAATGGGAATGGAGCACTCTGAGAACATCAGAAAAGCCAGGAAGGAGAGTGGGCCTGGCTGTGGAGACTGTGCCCTCATGCCCTCTGCCACTAGTGTGATAGGTGTTTACCAACTGACCGAGGATACAGATGATAGTATCTAATAAGTGCTGGGTATTTCCTTGAACCCTGGGAAACTGGCAATATTCATTTAGATATATGAAAATGGCAATTTCCTATGATTCAAGTTAATATAAGTGCTTTAAATGGTTTCCACATATTCACTGCATTTATTCTTCACACTCACCTGTAACGGAGAAACTACACTGCATAATTAACCCTGCTTTTCAGCTCTGGAGGCTAAAGCTAAGTGTGGTTGAGCAGCTCTCGCAAGGCCACGTAGCAAACAGTAGAGCCAAGACTCGTATCCAGGTAGTTTGGCTTTCAGGCTTACTCTTCTGATAACCCCTGCTACTATTCTAGTTGGAGACTCACAGGCCAACAAGGTCTGGTGCAGAGCACAGGCCTCTATCCTCAGATGATGTCTAAAATGAGGCAGGACAGATAAGACAAAGGACAAATGGGAGCCAAGGACAAATGGAAGCCGTTGCCTGTCACTCTTTTCAAAGTCACAGCAAACTTCATAAAGTCCAGGACTGGAATCAGTTCTTTTATTGAGTCAATGCTTACGCACAAGTAGAGATAGCTTTATGTTGTATTACTTGAGCCTTCTTTGAAGCTGGGTTGGCAATCTGTTCTGAATAGCACCAGAGAAGCAACTCATTCATTCAGAGCCTCAAGCCAACCAAGCTCTTCTGAACTCAGTCTGCATTCCTGAAACAGCCACCTAATTCCATCTGGCCTCTAGACGCTTTCTCTTTGATCATTCGTTATCCCAAAGGCTGCTTAATCTTTCCAGTACTCCATTTTCATTATGCCATTCTTGAAATTTAAAATAGTTCCCCATCGCTGGGATGGTCAGATGCAAACTCCTGACTCTGACATCTTCAGAACTCCACTGCTTAGCCTGTCCTCCCAGGTTGCTTATTAGAGTATCCTCTGCAGCAAGCCCATTCTTCCTGGAATGTCCATCTGGATGCTGATAGGCTCAGCTCCTTAACTTCCCCTCCTCCCCCCCACATCAACTTCACTGCTATTCTTTTCTGCAATCCCAGCTCAAGCCCCACATGTCTCTGTGGCCCCTCCTAAGCTTTCGAATATTAAACTCTCACAACTTGAAATAGGATCTCTCTACTGTCTTGTGATCAATATTTCAACTATCCAAATAATATACAAAGACTTTCAGGGATAGAGATCATGTCTATGACATTCATTTCTTCAACATTTGCCAAGTACCCACCTAGTGCCAAGCACTGTGGTACAGATAAACAATAATTCCTAGCTATAAAAGGCTGATGGGTCAGAAGAAAGATGTATTAACTTGGACCATATGAAATTTTTTGTTTTATAGGTCAGAAATGATCAAATATTACTTGTTTAATATGATTCACCTGAAATATAAAGATATTATCAAAGAATGTAGTAAAATTGTCATGAACTTAACACAAGAGACTCTAGGAAGGGCAGAAGAAGGAGTCTAGCTTGTATTAGGATAAGGTTGTCAGGGTAAGCTGTAACCTGATCTAACTTCTATCCTTATAAGAGGAGACTGGAACACAGAGAGATACAGGAATACACACAGAGGAAAACCACATGAGAGAATAGGAGGAAGAGACCTTCTGCAGGCCAAGGAGAGGGGCTCAGAAGAAACCAAGCCTGTCAACACTCTGGTCTTAGACTTCTAGCCTGTAGAACTGTGAGGAAATCAAGTTCTGTTGTTGAAGCCACTGAGTCTTTGGTATTCTGTTATGGCAGCCTGAACTGATGAATACAGAAGGGTTCTGTGAGCAATTCAGGTGGGTGGAGGGTTAAAAAAAAAAAAAAGAATAGCAAGAGATGAGATGAGGAAAAACAGACTGAATGGATGGCATATGGGGCCTTGCATGCCATTCTGAGGAAGTGAAGCTTTTCCTGATGCTATGGGGAAGATTTTGGAGAGTGTTAGGCAAAAGGTGGCAGAATCATGAAGTTTTGTTGTTGTTGTTTTTGTTTGGTACCAGGAATTGAACTCGGCTCCTTGCGCTTGCAAGGCAGGCAGAGAACCACTGAGTTAAATCCCCGGCAGAATCATGAAGTTTTAAAGAGAGATCTCTGTGGCAGTGAGAAAGGGCAGGACTTGAGGTAGGTAAACGATTCAGGGGCTGTTGGATTGGTGCAAACATGGATAAAGAGGTTCTAAACATAGTGGCCACAGAGATGGAGAAGAAGGCTCAAGTTGAGGAAAAACTTGTGAGGTAAAACCAGCAGTTAGGGACAGAGAGAGCCAGTAGAAGGACTTCCACAAAAGCCAGGTGATAGAAATTTACAGTTGTCAATAGCAGCAAACAAAGCAGAGGGTGAAATCACATGAGAATGGAATGCAGTTACAGAATCTGGTGATAGTAAGAGCACAGTGAGGCTGGGGAAAAAATTTCCCTGGACTGTAAGGGCAGCAAGCAAATTCCAGAGAGGTGTGAGTGAAGATGGAGACAGCAAGTTTTGATGATTAGATGAGGATGCAGTGTTCAAAGGAGAGATCATTAAAGATGGGGCAGATGTGAGCATATTTACCAGGTAAGCAGAAAGAGACCGAAGACGAAGCTATGGATGAGAGGTGACAGGGAGCAAGGAACTAGCGGAGGAGACTACAGGTGGGTGGTGCTTTTGAAGTCTGCCTGTCCAAAGTGGATGAAACAAAGATTTTCCCCTTTAATCATCAGGCTGTTCTTTAAATTAGTTGAAGCCTGTAGGCTTTTAACTTAAATATAAGATGGTATTAATCAATAAAAATATAGCTAATTAGATTCAGGAACAAGTGCAGTATTAAAACATAAGGATATAGTTGGCTTCCATTAAGATAATTAGAAGGGACCACCTGCCCTTCTTGGAGAGCAACGAGACCCCACTGGCTTTACCCTATCAAAGAGAGGGAGCCATGGTGTTCCCTGACAAATCAAGGCATCTCACAGCTATTCCTAGCTGGGTCACTGCTCTTAGGCTACTGGAGTCCCTAAGGGACTACCTCCTAACAGCACAGAAAGGGCCAGGGCCTGGTCCAGAGTGACAAGAGGGCCATTCTCCCAGACGTCAGGTCTTGTCCTCCTCCTTATGGGTGAGTTCTACAGTCTGTGGCAGGGCATTTCAGCCTGGCTCCAGCTTTGGACCCTGAACCTATCTTTAGCTGTATGAAGGCAGACAGTGTAGCACTTGAGCACCAAGCAGTCAGGGAAGATGTAAAGTTTCCTTGGGCTACGGATAGAGTGACACACTTGGGCAGGGTTCCCTATGATGATGGTACATGTTTGTGACCAGGGGGTGAGGCACTTGTGAGAAAGGTAGGGAAAGACACTGGCATTGGTCTTGAAGTGTGCTGTATTAACTGTGGAGGCAGCAGCTATGAGAAAGAGCTCCATTAGATTCCTGCCTGTCAGTGCCTCCTTAACATGATATATTTTAACATTTTTCTCAGTGTGAGGTTGACTTTAACAATGAATCCAGAGAAAAAGAGGAAGCGATAATAAATCACAAATAATAACTACCAACAGAGATTTCTTGACCCTGTCATTGTAGCTCTTCCATCCAAAGGGACCTGTCAGAAAATGCTAAGTGAAGGTACTTAAAGAAGCTGCTGGCATCCAGCTGTACCCTGTGGACAAGAGGCCTGAAGGCATTGCGTGAGCTCTCAGCATCTTCTTTAGCAAGAGCCACGTGGCTGCACTGGTCAAGAGGGGAGCTGTGGAAGGGGTGATGGGGCAGATAACAGAAGCTAGGCCCAAGGAGGAGGCCAGGCCGGTGATCACAAGAGAGGTGAGGGGAGTTTGGAGAGAGCCACTGAGGTTTCACCTCTGAAGAAGACATCTTTAATAACTAATGAGAAAATGCATGGAGTCATTAATGTCACCCCTAATATTTTGCAACTCCGAGCAAATCACCCTGCCTCAGGACCCTGCAGCCACATTACCGGCCACCCAGAAAAACACAGAAAACTGTCATAAACAAATGAAACTCAAAACCAAGTTGATCTAAGATACATTTGACGAGACCATGATTCAACCCTGGATTATGAAAGGCATAATCTAGGAAGGAAAGTAGTTCTTATAAATTACTGAAATTAAGGAGTATAAGCCAAACAAACTTTAATTTTTCTCTTTTTATTTTGCTAATACTCCTGTATCTATAGTCTACAGAATGTAGTTTTCTTTTTGTACCAGGGATCGAACTTGGGTCCTTGAGCTTGCGGGGCAGGTGGTGGAACCATTGAGCTAAATCTCCAGCCTGAATGTAGTTTTCTTTATTCCCAATATCTTCTGAAATAAGACACATGCCTTCATATGTTAAATGACAAAGATGGGGCTGGGGATTTAGCTCAGTGGTGCTGCGCCTGCCTCACAAGCACAAGGTCCTGAGTTCGATCCCTGGTACCAGGAAAAAAAAAACAAAAACAAAGATGCCTGGCTGGACCTGCTGTGTGTTCTTCCAGAATTCAATTTCTTCTCTTTTCTTTTTTTTTCCTATGGCAGTAAAATGCTATAATGAGTTCCTTGAAGGGAGAGGTGCAGTATAAAGAAGAGGATAGTTCCTCAGGTTTCAATGCCTGCTTTCATTTTTTTTTAAGTACTGAGGATTAATCCCAAAGGCCCCACAGTCACTAAGCAGAGCACTGAACTACATCTCCAGCCCATTTTTTAAAATTCCATTTTTAGACAAGGTCTCATTAGGTTGTCCAGTCAGAGTTTGAACTTGCAATCCTCTTGCCTCAGCCTCCTGAGTAGCTGGGATTACAGGCATACAGCACTGTGTTTGCTCTCTTCTTTACCAGCTGTATGATGTTGGACATACTATTCAGTCTTGCTAAGCCTCAAGCCATTTAAGTGATGATACTAAATTGCCAGCAAGACAGATGAGGAAGGGGTGGTCAGTGAAGTAGCAGGAAGTCAAAGAGATTGTGACAGAGAGAAGCTGAAAAAAGAAAGTGTTTTTAGGAGGAAGGGGTTACCCATAGTGAAAGCTGCCACAAAGACCGTAAGAGTTTCAGCAAACTTGGAGCAACCTATCAAGACACACCATGACCTTTCCACAGCTCTTGGTTCATTACCTGAAGACCCTGGTTTGCTTATCTGGAAAGAAACAAAGTGGGGGGGGGGATAATATCTCTGATCACTGCACTGTTTAAAGGACTAGTTTCTCAGACCTCATTTGCATATTAAAACAAAAATTGAGAACAAATTTTTACAGCTCTGGTTCTTCATTTTTCAAAAATTTCTGCATTCTCTGTGTCCATTTAAAGGAGAATTCTAGGGTATGGGAGTAAACGAAACCTGGACTATACAACTAGGGGCAGGTCTGGAAACATTTCCTCCTCATTGTAAAAGCATATCGGATAAGAATATTTTCCATACTGATGTGTAAGTCTTTCAAATGCAGTTGTTTCATGCCTAACCTAAGTTCAGGCAAACACAATTTCTGAATATTAAAACAAAGAAAAATAAATGTCATAATAAGCCTTCTAGCATAAAGGTCTAAAAATACTACATTCTCTCTCCTAATTCTACAATCAAAGGAAAAGAACTTGACCATTTGAAAGTGGGCTGATGGCAGCTCCAGGGAAGCCTGGGTTGAGGGTCTCTCACACATGAACTAACTTCCCAGGGGGCAGACTAACTTGCTTCCAAGCTGGACTCACATTTCACCCACTCATATTCATTATGATGTCCCTCGCCCGACGACCACCACCACCAGAGGACTAGGGTCATATGAAGCCACAGGCTTGAAAGGGACTTAGGGTCACAGAGAATGGAGATGGACATTTTTGCTTGAGAAACTGGGTCTGAGAGGTGAAAGGATGTGCACACTTATACACATGGCTCGAACTTTAGCACGCTCCTGGGTGCCCCACCCTATAGCAAACTTCTCTCACTGCCACCTCCCTTTGTGGCCTGCCTGAGCCAGCTCATCCTCCCCCACTAAGTTCACACTATCTGATTACCCATTCCCTCTTCTTCCCTTCAATCTGGCTTTTTTCTCTGCCACTCACAAATAAATACAGGAATGTCAAGGTCATCAACATCTTTCATGTGGTCCCACCTGAAGGTCATTTCTCCCTCTCCCTTTCACACACCTCTCAGCAGCATCAGCCATGGGGCACTCTCATCCTTTTGCCTTCTTTTCTCCATGACGCCCAAGCCCTGGATCCCACCACACACACACACATTGATCTCCCCATGATCCTTTGCTGGCTCTTCATCTTCCTCCCAACCTCTTGCCTTCCTGGTGATTTTGACATGCTCAGATGTTTAAGTGTTTTGTAGGCTGATTATTCCAATGAGCCTTTACCTTGTACACTCCACTGAATTCTTAATATTGCATATATCGATTTGACATCTCAAACTTAGCACAGGTAAATCTAGGATCTTTATTTTTCCCTCCAAGGCCTTTCCTCCCAAAGTCTTTACCATCTCAAAAAATTCCATCACCATTTCCCCAACTGCTTAATTCAAAAACCTAGAAATCAGGCCAGGGATTTGGCTCAGGGGCACCGAGTCTCCCTCACAAGCGCAAGATCCTGAGTTCAATCCCTGGTACCAAAAAAACCCCAAAACAAACAAACAAAATAAAACCTACAAGTCATTCTGGTTATTCTCATATTCAACTGAATAAAAACTTTTCCATATTCAGTTGAACAAAAACCTATGGAAGCACATCTCTGATAGGTCGGTGAATGCATTATCTGTCTCTGCTCTCACTGGGACCTCTTCGGTGGCCAATACTCCAGCCCTCCTCCTGCTCTGTGTGCTGCTCGAAGCCAAGCTACCAGAGCAGAGCAGCCTTTAACACACTGGGGGATCAGGCTCCTTCCCTGCAAAGACTCCACAATGGCTTCTGTAGGACTTGGAGTAGGATTCTCGTGCCCTCCCTGGCTCTTGTCTATCTCTTACGGCCCTGTCCACCCTTATTTTTATTTTTTTTATTAGTGCATGTTTGCAATACAGAACAGTGATGTTCATTCTGGGAAACTGGTTATGTGTATATAACATATCTTGATCATTTTCAATCCCTCCCCCACTTCTCCCTCCTGAATCCCCTTCCCTATCTCCACAAGTCTACCTTCAAGTTTCCTATCATCTCTCCTTTATTTTACTCATTTATTTATTCATATTTCAGGTGTTTGATATAGGGGGAAACCCTCCATTTAACCCTCCAAGTCAGGCTTATTTCACTTAACATGATAGTCTCCAATTCCATCCCTTTTCCCGCAAATAACATGATTTCATTCTTTATGACTGAATAATACTCCACACACACACACACATATATATACATACACACACACACACACACACATATACATATATATCACATTCATCTATTGACAGGCATCTAGGCTATTTCCACAACTTAGCTATTGTGAATTGTGCCACTATGAACATCGGTATGTACTCTATGTGTTGCTACAGAATGATGTCTTTAATTCTTGGGAATATACACAGGAGTGATATATTAATTGTTATTTCTATTTTTAGTTTTTTGAGGAATGTGCATACTGATTTCCACAGCAATTTTACCAGTTTACATTCCCACCAACAGTGTAGGACAGATCCTCCCCACCCCCGCCCCTCCCAGCCTCACCCGCATTCATTGTTTTCTGCATTCTTTATCACTGCCATTTCTGAACAGTCTGAGATGAAATCACAATGTAACTTTGGACTGTATTTTCCTAATGGCTAAAGATGTTGAATGTTTTCTCATATGCTCATTGGCCACTTGTATTTCTTCTTTTGAGAAGTATATATTCAATTCATTTGCCAATTATTTGATTGGGTTGAAGGTGGTTAATTTTTTGAGTTGTTTATATAGTCCAGATATTAATCTTTTACCAGAGGAGTAGCTAGCAAACATTTCTGTCCATTCTTAGGTTTTCACTCTGCTGTTTCCTTTTTACATATAGAAACTTTTTAATTTGATATAATCCCATGAATTGGTTCTTGATATTATTTCCTGCACTGTAGAGTCCATTTCAGGAAGTCTTTACTTATGCCTATGGCTTGAATTTTCAAACTACTGGAAGATAACATAGGGGAAACGCTTGAAGCCTGCCCTGCTTTCTGTCCCCAAAGCACATCACATCACCTGCCTCGGGGCTTTTGTGTTCCGTGCTCTGCCAGGCTGGGGACATGCCCAGCTCAGTCTTGAGGGCTTCGAAGTTCTGCTCACTGTCTAACCCACTTGTGCATGCAAGAGTATCCTCACTAAGTGGAAGCTCCGTGCGAGCAGGGACTGTGTCCACAATGGCTGGCGGGAAGCGTCCTGCCTGGATCTGTAAACACTGGCTGGGGGAGTGTTGATGGGGCAGGATTGCAGGTCTCCTGGCCCCCAGCCCAGTAGGCTTACCACTGCTCCAGCTGCCTCTCCAGAACAATGGATGAGTCAGCCTGGGAGGCATATTTGTGTGCAAGAACGCAAACTTCACCGTGGGAAGGGCACAGGGCTGCACAAAAGCAGCAGGCAGACTGCTCCCTGGGGCCCAGCTTGCTCTCTGCCTCCTGGTGCTCTTTGGTCCCAAGCAGGAGGGGTGGAGGTGCTCATTTAAAAACAAACCACAACAGGAGCCTGGCATGGTTGCATATGCCTGTAATCCCAGCATTTGGGAGGCTGAGGCAGGAGGATTGATGGCCTCAAGTTCAAGAAGCTGGGCTACATAATGAGTTCAAGGCCAGCTCGCACTACAAATCAAGACCCTGTCTCAAAAACAAAACCAAACAAAAACAGCAGAACCTTCTGTGGCAGGCCTCACTGCCCAGGGAAGCCATCTAAAATGGGATGTGGAGAAGGGACAATTCCTGGATGGCCTATACCTTCCCAACCAGCTGAATGCAAGTTCCAAGCACTTGACTCTAGCCAGTGAGGTCTGGATGGAGGCTTCTACTAACATATCAACCTCTGTGTTCTTGGGGCCTAGGCCCAGGGCTTCAGATAAACAGCTATTTAGAGTAGTGAAAAAATAGAGCAAAGCAGGGATGAAAAAAAATGGGAAAATGGCAAGAAATAATCTCACAAGTGCCACAAGCCACATTCTAAAAACAAAACTCAGGAGCTGGGAGTGGAATCCTCCTACTACACGCCAGAGAGGGGCAGGGCTTCCTGCTGGGCTACATCTGAAACAAAAGGCCCCATTGACAGGCACATCTGTTACTACTAAAAACTTAGGAATCAGTATTTTCCTAAAGATTTTTTTCCTTTGGCTTTAAAGGGTTACTGTCTGCCAGGCTGCCAAACCTCAACCTTCTCCATGTCTTCAGCCACCACATAAAGTGACTATTAGAACTTCAAACAAAGAATTTGGTCCCGGAAATGGCCTCATGCTAGTTTTTTCCTGAATAGAGACACCAGGAAAATGTCAGAAGGCAAATCAAAACCCACACCCTGAAAGACTTAAAACATAACAATCACATCCCCAGGAGGATGAGTAACCCCAGCCTGATTTGATTTTAAAAGGAAACACGGCAGATTTAGTCAGATGGCCTGGATGTGTCTGGAAAGAAAGAAGGGGTGGGGAGGTGGGAGGCGCGTAGAGCCACCTTACCTTAACACCTGCATCTCTTCGGGGGAGTTCCGAAGCTCGTCCCGGAGGCGATGCCAGCGCAGGCAGGCCCTCAGCTCCCGCTGCTCCTCGGCATCGTGGGGGGCCAGCTGCTTGAGCACAGACACACCAACACATGTGCACAAAATACAGTCATTGTCTTGGTCAGCCCTACCCCACCTTGCTCCTCTTTAGAGAAGCCAAGGGCCACTGCTCCTCCTCTGCTCCTCCAGTGAAGAACCAACTGTGAGCTCTGGTGCTGGTAGGTGGAGCTGGGCCTGCCTGTTTGGGAGGGGTCTTGGGTCTTGGAACCCACCCCTCAGTACACACCTGGCCTGGAGAAAGGGGCTCCCCTGGGGGCACCTCCACTTTAATCCAGCCCTCCTTTCCTGCTCTGTCTTCCCGCACAGGGTGGGGAAGGCCTCTCCATTTACCTCCTGTTTTTCCCAGCCCTCAATTTGGGTAAGAACTGTTTATGTGGAGCCTGTTAATGCAACCCAGATGATGCTGTTTGCATATAACCAGAAACAGTGTCCTGCCTGGACACTGGAGGCAGGAAGGACATCACTTTCTGCGCGATTGAGTCAGACCCCCCCACCTTCCCACCCCGCTGTGGATAGCTCTAGAACTATCAAGGAAGGAAAGCCTGCAAGTCTATTGGGAACCAAATTACTCTTAACAACTCATTCAACAGATACCTACTGAGTCTCCGCTGCCCCTGGGGACATTATAGACTGAGGTGGGGAGGAAGACAACAGGACCCTAACAACGGAGTGTGGGGGGTGCAGAGGTCAAGGAGGAACTAGGGCCCCCCTTGCCAACCAGGGGGATCCAAAGCCTTTGTGGAGGTGGTGGTATCTAAGCTTTCCTCAGTGAAAGCAGGAGCAGGCCAAAGAACATTCTGAGGGACGGGGTCAGGCTAGGAGCAGACTCTGTCTAGGGAGTGAGGCCCTGAGAAGCCAGGCCAGGCCAGGTGAACATTGACTTTGGGTGGTTATTGTTTCTAACCGAACAGGATTTCCCCAGCCCTCAGAAGTATGTTGAAGACCTAACCCCAGTGTGATAGCATTTGGAGATAGGAGCTTTAAGGAGGTTAAATGAGGCCACGAGAGTGGGGCCCTAATCCTATAGGACTGTGGTTTATAAAGAAAGGAAGAGACACTGGTGATCACTCTGGTCCTCAAGCACAGAGGGGAGCTCATGGAGAAGAGAGAAGGCAGCCATTCACAAGCCAACACTGACAACACCTAGACCTTAGATTTTTTTACCCTTTAGAACTATGAGAAAATAAATGCCTGTTGTTGAAGCCACCAGTCTGTGGTATATGACTACAGTAGCCTGAGCAGACTAATACACTCCTGAAGTGTTTAGGTTTTGTCCAGGCTGATGACAAGTTATACAGTTCAACCTTGCTATTCAGCTCACTTATCTTGCAGAATGGCACTCTGATGGGATGCTGGGCTCCATGTCCTAATTCAGGATTTCATGCTCCCCTAACTTGCTACACTTTCTGAAACACAGTGCTGCAGAGCACAGCCTTCCCAGCAGCAAGGTGACTGAAACAGCCCTGGCCACCAGGGCGTCCTCATATCCTCTTTGCTGGTGGAGCTGCTCCTGACCAACAGTGTCAGCAACCCACAGAGTACTCCTCTCCCATGAAGGTCCGAAGCAGGCACTTATCAGGGACCAGCACCATCCCAGTCTGGTCCTGAGAGGAAGGGGTCAGCGGTGGGTGTGCACCAGAAGTCCAGTCAGACTCAGTGCTGGGGAGGTCCACTTTGCCTGAAGGACATTTGTGTATTCACATCTTAAAGTTGGGTGGTGCTATGGGCTGACCCCAATGGAGGGAAAGGGGAAAGGGGAAATGGAGGAGGACATGCTCCTGCTTTCCCTCAGGCCACAGCAGAAGTCACCTCCTCAAGCAAGGCCTTCAGACCTGGCCTTTCCCACCTTTGAACTCACACAAGATCTGGTGTTCACCTCTCTTCAAATTTTTTTCTCCCTCCTTCCACTGAGTGCTTATCTTATCCTCATCCTTTTATTCCTTCATATGGATCACAGAATGATCACAGAAAGTGCACAGCTGTGAGATCAGCTTCTATCAGTTGGTGGGGCGCACTCAGGGCAGTCAGATGAAGACCCCAGGGAGGAGACGAAGGAGTATGGGCAGGGGAAGGGGCAAAGAGGGAGCTCTCTAGCTGTGTGTGGTAGTGCATGCCTGTAATCCCAGCACTCAGGAGGCCGAGGCAGTAAGATTGCTGCAAATTCAAGGCCAGCCTGGGTTACAAAGTGAGATCCTATCTCAAAAAAAGAAAAGAAAAGGGAGCTCTCTTATTTAGACATAGCCGATAAAGGACAGAGATTTCATTATTGGGTACCAGAAATACACTTGCAGTTGCCAAGAACAGAACCAGTTGGACTGTCTCAGAGATCATGACAGTAGCACATTATACTGCTAAATGACCATGATGTGCAAGATGGTGGGAATACAGAGGGTGAGAACAGGTGTTTCTTGCACATTTTTCATGTGTCTGGCATGTGCTAAGCTCACTCACACACCAGTCCATTCACTGTATAAGGTTAGGCCTTCTTAAATCCAGTCTACAGATGGGGAAACTGAGGCTCAGGAAGCTACTGTATGTATCCTACCTATCCCCAGAAGGCTGGTGAATGGCAGAACTGAGACTCAAAGTTTAGTAGCCAGCCTCTATTCCCAAGTCAACCAGATAGACGTGCACCCTGCTAGCTGACCACCATGGTGTGAAGAGGACAGAAGGACAATGAGCCACAGCTCCGATTTGAAAAAGGGCAGTCAAAGCTGTGAGAAGCACACAGCAGAAGTAAGAAGAAAAACAGGTAAGCAGCAAATACTGTGGAGGTCAAAGTTTACAGGAGAACAGTAATAAGAATTGTGAGAGGAATGGCCAGTCTGGGCTATCTGGAAAAGGCACTTCAAGCTAGTGAGTGATATGTGGAAAGGATTTCAACAGGCAGAATCATCATGACTGAGTCATACATCATCCAAGTATGCACAAACTTGGCAGTTTTAGAGAATGTCAAATATTCCAATGTGTAAGGACACGGATAGCACACAAAAGAAGTGACCCAAGTATTATTACTGTAACTGAAAAGTAAGCAGGAAACAGTTTAGCTGCCACATCCTCATTAGAACTGGTGGCCAACTCTCTAAAGTACAGGTTACAAAACAGATGTGTGTGTAGTGGGTCTGGCCTCTGGGTACTTTCGTGTGTGTATACATACATATATTCTGTTGAGAGGGGCTGGGGATTGAACCTAAGGCCTCATATTTGCTAAGAACACATAGTACCACTGAGCTACATCCCCGGCCCCTGATTTGTGTGGTATTATTTAAATCAGTAAACTTCACATGAAAATCTGGATTTATGGATTTCCTTATAAAACTAAAAGTCTAGGCTCTGTTAAGCCCCCTTTAATATGAGAACAGTTGGTTAGAGCTAAGTGGCAGCTGCCAGTTTGCCACAGTCCTCAGAATGCCCTAATCTATTGCCCCAACTGCCTCAATCTTTACCCCTTACTCACAAGCAGCAGACATCTAAGCTTATGACTCCTGATTTACATTTTAGTTTGATCATTTAAAACACACACACAATACTACCACAACCATAAAGACAAAGGAATGTTTGCATATAACCTTTCCTTTAGGTCTGCTCTAGGGTCTCCTCATCAGAGGCCTTCTCTGATCACTTTTTAAAGGAGCTCTCCTTTCCCTCCCCTCCAGTCTCCACTGAGCTAATTTTTATTCACAGTACTCTTCCCTACTGCATGTTACTGCTTTGTTTGTTTGTTCTCTTGCCTATCTCTAGATTGTGAACCTAGGGGAAAGAGGGCTTCCTTCTTTGGTTATACAGCATCTTCCCAGCAAAAACAGTGCCTAGGGCATGCACCATGTATCTGTTAAATGAATGAGGGACTTGAGTGGAACTCTCGGGAAGGAATACTTAGGGTCACATTAAACCCACCTGCTGTGCTTCAGCCCAGAATACATCTTCCAAGTGAGTGGCGAACCCTTCACTGAGCCACTCCTCCGTCCAGTCACGGGCGCCAATGGCCAGGCCAAACCAGGTGTGAGCAATTTCATGGCAGAGCCGGGGCCCGCAGAGATGGCTCCTGCCTGTCAAGGTGCTCTGGGAGAGGAAGATGATATGTGGGCTGTGGATAATGGGAGACAAAACATTGGAGTCCTGTTAGAGCTTGTCCTCGTGGCTGCCCCGTGGGGTGGCTTTCTTAGCCTGAAGAGCCTATTATTATCAGGTGCATGCCAGATCATGACTGATAGACTTGTGGCTGAGATGCTTTTAGACCTAAATAAAGTGGCAGTTTATGTTTCTGGCAGCGGTTCAGGCTGCTGTTTCTGCCAGCAGTTGTCTCCGTCATCAAGTGGCTATTACCCGTAATAAGTAACCTGCACCAAAGTTTTATACTGAAAAAAATTACAAGGCAATGGAAGCATTTACTCTGAAATCTGGACTGTAAAAGAAGAGCAGGTGTGAGAATGGGAAGCCCAGACTGTCAAGGGAGTGATCAAAGAAGACCCTTCAGCCAAAGCCGGAGCAGTTCACAAACGAACTGAGAAGTCATGCAGAAAGATGAGAAAAGCCAAGAAGAATGGAACCAAGAATTTTCCATTTCACACTGGGGCTGGTTATGGAGTTAACAATCTAACAGGTGCCAAGGAGTGGAGAGACTTCCAGGAGACCCAGTAAAGGCCAAGTGTCTGGAAAACAAAGATTTTCAGTGGAATCTGTAGGTGCTTATAGATTCACATGACAAAACAAAATCATGCAGGACCAGGGATTTAGCTCAGTGGTTTCGCAGCCTGCTGCGCAAGCGCAGGCACCCAAGTTCGATCCCTGGTACCAAAAAAAAAAAAAAAAAAAATCATGCTGAGGGAGAAAGGCAGGGAGTTAACCCACCCAGGTGTGCACATGGCCCCAGGGCTGGCAGCATGTGGGGAGATTTATCTAATCTTATTTTCCATACCTCCTTTTAAAACCCAAAATACCATGATTAAAATTGCAGAGATGAAATGGGAGGAATGCGGGCTGAAAGAAGAAGAGGCAAACAGAATACCTCCTCTGCTTCCACCTTCAGCATTTGTCATTTATCCCAGGACTTGTTGACGGTCTTCCCAATGAAGAATTTGCTCTTTAAAAATCTCTCCTCCATCAACTGAACAAAACCAACTGTGAAACCTTCCATATTAAGAAACTGTTCATACACACTGGTTCCTTCTTTCAAAAGCCATTTGTTTGCCATCATGTCAGCTCTGCACAAGCCAAGACTGCTTGCAGATTTTTTGTCCGCCCCCACAGCTACCATTAGAGAAAACCCCACCTAGATTTCTCTTGCACAACATTATCCATTCAGCTCAGAGAGCTCAACTGCAATTGCAGGAGACACATCTGCCAAAATAGATAGCTTTCATGTGAAAGAATAACAAGCCAGGCACGCCAATGACAAGGCATCTGCCAGGCCCTCTAAAGAGTCCACCAGGAACCCCAGAAATTATGGGGAGAGTCGACACACTCAGGACAAAGGGTGTAATGCAGCAGGCACCAATAGTAGTTCAAATCACAACTCAGAAGAAATAAATAATTTAAAATGGAGGCAGAAGGAGGGGAGTGACTAGGAGAGAAGGAAGGAAGAGAAGAAAGAAGGAAAGGAGGGAACAAGCAAACTTGAGAGGCATAGGCGCTAGCTCCCTCTTTCTGAGAAAGTGGCCCCATCCAGAAGACACACTGCAACCTACCATTTTCAAGTGACCCCTGGCTCTAGCATGTGCAGCACTACAAGAAAAGCCACAGAAATGTATCGAGTAAATAACATTCCAGACATACTGCTGGCAGCAGTTCACCCTTTCCGCTAAAACAAAACAGAAGGAAGTTCAATCCTTATAAACAGGCTCAGAGACAAGTCTGCCCGGGAAGGATCCATCACCCAGAGCAGGACAGCCATGGACACACTGGTATGGAGACCAGAGACTGGAGACTGGAGACCAGAGACTGGAGACTGGAGACCAGAGACTGGAGGGCTGACTGGCGCTCAGGCCGGCCGCTTCTACAGGAGGACGGCTGTGGAGCTTCTGCTGCCTGGGGTGACCTGCCTGCTGCTCCGCCCCAGCCTGGCAGCCTAGCCGAGGCCCATTTATGCAAGCATGAATGTCTGCAGGGCCTGAAGGAATGCACAAAAGCCACCCTGTAGGGGGTGGCATTTCACCTTCCTGACCTTTAATTTTTTTCCCCTTGAACAGTTGTTGTCTCCACCAGACTTCCCTCTGCATCATTCCACATCCTGGAGACACTACCTCCACCTGGGTGCCCCTTGGGTTGGGGGCGGGGAGAGACAGGTCCTGGCATTGCTGGAATTCAACCTAAATTCCCACTTCCCGTGCTCAATCTTTTCTTCCAAGCCAGGGATAATCATATTTCCTGTGTCCTTTGGGGAAGACTGAAGCTTAGACATCCTCCGGATAGGAAGGAAGGGCGTTTAACTTGATATGAATGACGCTTATTATCAGTGGAAAATATGACCCCTCCCTGACAATTTTCCATTTAGAACCCTGACTCTCACGCCTCTAGTGGCCCATTTTATCCTCCAAAGTTGGGTTTTACCTGTGTCCTTTGGGGCCATTTCCCTATGAAAGAAATGGCTTCTTTCTTTAAAGGAAATTAAAAATATAAAGTGAGGTTTCGACAACCTTTCTCAAGGGTGTTAAAATTCTGACATAAAGGATCAATTCTTTCAAGAAGTTCCTTCCCTCTTTTTTGATCCTAAATGTCAGAATTTCTCAAGGTAAGTAGACTGTTTAAACCACTTATCTTTTTTAAAAAACTATTTTTTCTTCAGGTGGGCATGTTGGCAGGCACCTGTAATCCCAACAACATTTGGAGGCCGAGGCAGGACAATCTGGCATTTGAGTCCACCCCGGACTACATAGTGAGTTCAAGGCCAACCTAGGTTACATCAGGAGACCTTGTCTCAAAAAACAAACAAAAAAACAAAAAAAAAAACTAAACTGTTTTTCTTTAACAGCAAGAAAAACTATAATAATGTTCTTAAGCTCAGTTCAAGGAATAATAGTCAATATTCTTTTACCAACAGATAAACTACTGCATGGCCACCTTCACAACAGAAGGAGCTTTTAGAATTTTCTAGCTGGACCTTAATCTTAAAGTTAAGGCTCACTCCGAGGTGCCCCACACATTCCTGCATTCCCAGAGTCTTATTCTGTCCCAGTCAGCAGCGGGTGATCAGTCTTCACTCCGATAAGGCCCACTGGAAAGTGGATTTCATTTTTCCCCATGGAAGAGTCTGTGTCAACAGCCTCTAGGAATGCCAAATTGTCAATCCGTGGTCATTACAGAGGATGGAAGATAATCAATAACATCTTCAGCCTAAAAAAATATCTCTCTCTCTCTCAATCACTGAGTTTATTGTTTTTCCCAAGTATGAAATGGCAGGAAAGTGACACTTTTAATCTCAAAAAGCATAGGCCCTCTTGCTCGTAGCCTGCACCACCCCTTTTCTTTGCTCTGCCTGGTACAGGAGGGGGTTGGCAGGCAGGGGTTGGTTCGGAGTCACTGCATGCCATGTGTTGTCCTTCCCCAGGAGACCACCAGCATGGTGGAGGCTGCTCCCTCCACAGAGGCCAAGGTATTGGATGACTGCCGCCTGCCCCTTGAGATTACAAATATCATGTCTGCTCTGAAAACAGTTTCTCAAGACTGTTCCCTAGTGCTACCTACCCACCCAGATTAGAATGTTGTGTCCACTAATTTGAAACATGCTTCAAGCAGAGGAGGAAGGAGCCCCTTCATTACTCCCAGGAGCTGCTCCAATCCTTCAGGAGGAATTCAATTTAGAACGGAAATGGAGAATTTCATCAGATCTTAAGTAGGAGCTGGTGTGTGATTTATTTCTGCTTTTTCCAGAGAGACCTGACCAGCATGGCCCATCTTGCTGCTCAGGAAGCTTTACAGCACTTAGCAGCTCCACCTAAATGCTGCAGCCACAGGGCAGAGCAGGCTGCACAGGGAGACCTGAGCCAGGACATTACCCCCAGCCCACTCCTCTCATTATACTGGAGCAGATCCCAGTTCCCCTGGGGTGTGGAGGCAAATTCACTTTTCCTACAGATACTTGGGAGGCGTCATACAGGCATATTTATCAAGCTTGAGCTTCTTGTGGGTGGGAGTCACATTTTTCATAATTTCAACAACACATGGAACCCACTAGCCAATGATAGGAAGAAAGAATCAAGAAGGAAGGAAACCAGCCCCTTTCCTGCTGGAGCCTGACTTCAATAGGTTTCAGAATCTCATGAAATCAACTTTTGCTGTGTGATTTAATTACTTGCTGATATAATGTGGACACCTGAAATGTACACCCAGTAGTCTGGCACAAACCAAAAGGGAGGACAAATCCTGCTTCTCTCCCATAAGTCCAGAACATGTTTTCTCTTTCCTTTATAAGGTGTGTTGGCATTTCGGCCAAAGCATTTACAAATCAGCTCCTGTCCCTTTGTCTCTGAAACAAAGCCCACTGGTCTCTCTTTCCTGGCTTCAGTCTAATGTAGAGCATGAGTCTGTTGTCTTGAAGGCAAAGATGTGGCCCAGATGACCAGCAAGACCATTCTTCCCTCTGGCTCTGACACTGCTCTATAGGAAATATTCACTTTCCATTTCCTACTGTAGCTACATGGAACAACGTTTAAACTGGACATTTAGGAAATAAAGGAATGATCTTTTGGGATTGGGGATTTTCAGTAACCTGAGGTGGACCCCAATTCTGAAAACTTGTTATATCTGATGAGTGTTTAAGGGGCTCTTAGTCCAGGGAAACAGGCTAATGGTAGTAAAGTTCTTTTTAAAGGTTGTGAAGAACACACAGTAAAACACGTACTCATTTATCTGAATAAATGTTGCTCAAATTGTCAGTGTGATTACGGCAGTGACTAAAGAACGCCCCAGAGCCACAATGCCTACAGTGTTACCCCAAACACAGCTTTCTCCTAGACTCATGCTGCTTGAGTGTACATGCTAAGCATATAAAGTCTCATTTATTCTGCCCCATCACCTCAGGATATAGATTTATGATCTCATTTTACAGATGACAAAAGTGAGGCACAGAGGGGCAAAGTTACTAACATA